GAAAGACTAAGAGAGCATGTGGAAGAAATTCGAAATTTAGCTGACTCATCAATTCCTTTTAAGAATAAGAAAGAAATTATTGCYCAACRAGGAGGTGGTTTTGTCTCTGATGTGGTATCCCCTCTCATGTCAGCCTTGGGCATGTTTTTGGTTTAAAAGATTCAGCAATAAAGAAGAAAAGTCATTTCAAGGTTAGCACTCAGAGGAAGCAACATGAAGCGTTCGAGGAGCGATTCTGAAGAAAGCGTTGCTTCAGACACTGACAGTGACATTTTTGAGGATGACGATATTGAAGACATTTTGCATGATATTTCTCCCGAGATACCAAGAAAAAAAGCTCTTGATTTTCTTCATACTTTAGCCTCCTCCAAAAATATATTGTACTGGAATAGTCATGGTGAAATGATGTATYATCAACGAAGAATTCCTGTCACTAACATAGCAGAGCTCATTGAGTATGCTATATTACCATACAGCCTCGATATTAAAGCACCAAGAGGTCTGAACACGTTCATCAAAGGACTTGTTGAAGTTGGAATTGACAAAAAACTTATTGGAAACAAAAGAACATTAGCAGACCTCGTTGCTAGGCAACCCGATGAAGAGGAAAGCGACTTGTCAGACAGTCAAMCCASTGACTCGTCTGAAATCCAAGAAAGTGACAGTGAKGAGGAGGAAGAAAAAGAAAGCGAACAAGAAAATAATGAKCTACCAACAGGCCCCGAATCGAGTGACAGCGGTTCAGACGATGAAGTCGAAGAGTGTCACGTTTGTCGTGACTTCAAACCGTTCTACTCAATACCTGTCGTACAATGCCCTAAATGTTTATGGCGTGAAGGATATTACTGTCGCGATAATCAGCTTATTGAATGCGATATTTGTTATCACATCTTTCCAGTGGATTATCATACTACGAAAGCCAAATTTATGCGCTGTCAAGAATGTGATGCCGTTCACAAACTGTCATTAAAATCGAAAACGTTGAAACCTATTGACAATGTTGATGATAAGGATCAAGAAAAGGCGGAGAATAAATTGAAAAATCCCCTCGTTTGAATTAAATAAAAGAGTTTTCAACCAGAAAATCTTGTCCGTTTATTGTGTTATTGACTTTGTCATCATTCCATCGGAACTAATAAAGCCATCATTTTGAAACGCATTGCCATCACTGATTTGCAGAGATCGGAGGCCAATACATAAATTAACAGGTGACCATCTCTGAAAACAATAGCTCGCGTGTCAAGATTTTGCTTTACAACGTAAGCCAAAATAAACAAAACAAATTGTGTTCAGTGTGAAAAAAAAATATGAAAATAAAACAAGAATATCTTCTAGATGCATTGCATGAATCAAAGCTAATTTTACATAAAAACGTTAACAATAGTTCAACAGAAGACCACTTCAAAATCATTCTAAAACTAGAATTTAATGATCTCTCAAAATAAGCGTTGTGGTAAAACGCAACTAATTAGCGCCAAAAGAAATCTCTAGAAAACTAAAAATAATAATTTGCGTGCAATCAACAGGTGGGCTTCATAAGAAAAACTTAAAATTGCTTGACGTAAAATAACTTACAACTATCTCATTCTTCTTGTCCAACTGTCAAATTCCCCTTTCGGTCTCAATGGTTAGCTCAAAGGGCATCACACAGCGCATAGCTCTATTAACCAATTTCTGTCTGTCAACCTTTTGGAGGGCTTGATCAAAGTAGAGTTCAATCTTTTCATCTTCTGTGAGGGTTAAACAGTCGTCGCCTCTGAGCGCATTCCTACATCCACACCAATGTCTCATAACGAGTTCAGAAAAAATGGTGGCTTAATTCGTAAAACATGGTGGAGAAATAAATGGATTCTAGAAGGAAAACAATCCTTCAAAACGCGTTAATATATACAGAGCCATAACACACTTTTGTRCCACCTGCTAACCACAACAATACCCAAAACAAATTTGAATATATTTAAATATGAGGAAAAAATGATTGCATATGGATAGATAAAAAATCGGAAYGATTCGAAATTTTACTGATTCTAAAAACAGCGATGAGTCAGCGCTCTAATTAAAAAAATGACGTCATCGAATCCAACTCCTCTTATGGAGAAATTAGATATGACGTATCAACTTCCAACTCCACGTTTCAAACAATAGATGTGACGTCATAACGTCATCACCGAAAATAACGATGATGTCACCGTGGGGAGGGAGGCACCCATGCACCCGCACCCATGGGTGCAAGTGGCGCAGAACCGGTACTTTTATACTACT